CCCCACCCCACCTCCTCCTACACTGTACCCTCGTGTGGTCCCTCCTACTGCGCCTTCTCCATCCTCACCCCCCTTGGCTTCCCCTCCTCCTCCTATTATTCCCTATCCCCTTCCACCCTCCATCCCTCCTGCACCTGCCCCACCCTTCTCATCTTCCACGGCACCGCCCGTTGGTGAGGGGGGGACAGTGATGTCGCCGTCTGTGGTGATCACCGACGGGCAGCGACTTATGACTCAGCAGCTGCAGGACGAGAGTAGCATGGATGGAGTGCAGCAGAGTGGGGGGCAAGAGACAGGGGAGCAGTAGATAGGGGAGCAGCAGATAGGGGAGCAACAGATAGGGGAGGAGAAAATAGGGGAGCAGCAGATAGTGGGACAGCAGCTGGGGGAGCAGGAGATGTGGGGAATTAGAGATGGTGGTCGTGTGCTCGTTTCTGGGACGATCAATGAACGGCGTTGCTCCACTCGCATCACTCGTGGTATCCCACCTGTTCGATATGCTTGGGCAGTAGTAGTTGAGCCGGCGGGTTTGGATGATGAGGAGGAAGACGAGGAGTGGACTGACCTGTATCTGGACGTGGCAGTTGACCCTGAGAGGCAGTGGGACATAGCGAAGATGGCTGTGAAGGAGGCCTTAGGTTGCTGGAAGGGCGACAAGGTGAAGGAGGCAATGGATGAGGAGATGCGGAGCTTGGTCGAGCAGGGGACGTGGGAGATGGTTCCACGACCGCCAGGGGTGAACGTGATGAAGAACCGCTGGATCTTAAACGCCAAGTTCCGACTGGATGGGGTAGTGGAGCATGAGAAGGCGAGGCTGGTGGTGAAGGGGTTCACGCAGGTGGCACGGGTGGACTATGAGGAGACGTATGCCCATGTGGGAAGCTTTGTGACGGCGCGCGTGCTTTTGGGGATTGCAGCTGCACCCGATTTGGAGCTGACGCAGTTGGATGTGAAGAAACCGTTCCTCCATGGTGTGCTGGACTGAGACCTTTACATGGAGCAGCCGAGTTACTACGAGGATGGGACTCCTCTTGTCTGTAAGTTGTTGAAGAGTCTGTATGGGCTCAAGCAGAGCCCGATGCTGTGGTATGAGGCCTTGGATGGGGTGCTGCTTGGGGGTGGATGGACGAACAGTCAACTGGATGAGGCTCTGTACTTCAAGAGTGATGCTGAGGGCGAGATGTGCTGGCTGCTGGTGTATGTGGATGATTTGCTTGCTGTCAGCAGCAGTCAGAGCATGCTCGGGGAGCTGCATGACCTGCTGCAGAGTGCGTTTCAGCTGTGGGAGATTAGCCCTGTGGAGAAGTATTTGGGGTTGCAGCTGATCCGGGACAGGCCTACGAGGAGGCGGTGGCTGCACCAGGGGGCCTATGTGGACAAGGTCCATAGGCGCTTCTTTGACGGGGAGCAGCCGCTGCGAGTGCCTCGCACCCCTCTTTCCTCAGACCCTTTCAGTGCGCAGACCTTCAAGGATGTGGGATGGCAGTCTCGTCAGGAGGAGGAGTACATACAGAAGGTGGGATCCTTGCAGATCGCGGCCTGTACCACCCGTCCCGACATCTCTTTTGCCTGTAGCAAGTTAGGGTCGGGTCGGACTGTGCGGAGTTATCAGCACTGAAAGGAGTTGGACCGGTGCTTGGTGTACTTGGTGGGGAGCAGGGATGTGGCGCTGGAGTTTGGTGGTGGGCCGGAGTCCTTGGAGCTGGTGGGCTACGCCGATGCTGATGATGCGGTAGACAAGCAGAACAGGACCAGCAGTGGCTATGTCTTCGTGCTCGGGGGTGCTGTTGTCTCCTGGGCGAGCCAGAGGATTCGTTGCACCACCCTCTCCTCCACCGAGTCTGAGTTCATTGCTGATCTGGAGGCTGGGAAGGAGGCGCGCAGGCTGAGCTTCATGCTGGCAGAATTTCAATTGCTGAGGAGTGAGGAGCCCACTACTCTCTTTGTGGATAACTCCTCTGCCATTACAATGGCAGGTGGCATGGGGCTCCAGGGGAGCCTCAAGCACATGGAGCGTCGCCGCATGTGGCTGCAGCACATGGTCAAGCCCGGGAAGCTGCAGCTGTAGTACATCCCTACGAGCGAGCAGCCGGCTGACTACCTGACAAAGGCGTTGCATTTCCCCGCCTTCAGCCGTTGCTTCTAGGCCGTGGGGCAGGTGAGGCTCTCGAGCGAGGGGAGTGAGGCTTAGACACTCCATGATGGGGATGGTGCCATGGCCTATCCATGGCTGGTGCGGTGTGTGTTTGCACTTTGAGAGTGCTTCGTTTGTTTGTCGAGTCCCTTTTTGGCTTGTATGTGTGTATGCATGCCCCGTGACTATAAAGGGCCTTGCTGTAGTATGGCAGGGGAGTGTTGGAAGGCCCTACGACAGCAAGGGCATGTCGATGGGCAACGACTTGGCAGGGCTGACGGTGCCGACACTACAACGTTGGTGGTCACGCGTTGACGCGCGTGACTACTAGCAGCGGCGGTGAAGTGTGTGCTGTGTCACGTCGGTTTGTGAGGGTCTTGAGGAGCACGTCACTCCCAAGCAGTGTTGGATAGAGTGGCGTGCACGGCAGTGTCTTCGGTGCTGAGTTGGGTTTGGATTGACACGGGCCGCAATCACCCCACCCTCACGGCACCTTCCGTGTGGGTGGGTTACTTCGCAGCACCACGCAACTCTGTGAAACCCTTGCCTACCAATATATGTTTGTGTTTTGTTATAATACAATCTCTAGTGAAGTCCAATTGCTACTTGGTTTCTTCCTTAGTCATTTGAGACAACGCTACCGAATCTCTACCGAGTTGCTGGCGCGACTTGATCATCCTGGTGGAATCACTCTCTCGCTGTCACTATGCTATCCATTATATTCCTTCAACGCCTGTTCCCAGAGTCGCGTCTGCTCTTCGACACTGTTGGGGAGCCGGGTGCCGCATGCCGCGAGCAAGGTAAGTAGGAGGTTCTTCCCACATTCCGACCATGTGGCATGTGGTAGCAGGTACAAAGGTGTTCTGCGGGACAGGTAAGACACCCACCGCGAGATACAACAAGTGAGAAGTAGTGAAGTCACCTGAGGGTCAGTTTTTTCCAGGAGGCTTAGCGGTTTAGCCAATCCCTGCAACTGATCAGCTAAGAATGTTGAGGCACATGCGCCTGTTCAGAAATAGTTGCCTAGCATCCGTACCCCAGTTGCGCGAAATGGCACTCCCGCCGGTAGCCGGTCGCGGGCAGTGTCGTACGGCTCCATACAGTGCACTTTGAGGGGTTATGGGTTAACCCAAGTAGTTCTAAGCCTTCGATAAACTGCTCGAAAGCTGTAACTGTCGATGCGCGTTCCTTTAGAAAGGTGTCGTTTGCGTAAGCGAGGCATAGGACTTTGGGGTGAGCAGCCGCTGTTGCTCAGGGTGTTGGATGAATGCTAGCTGCAAATAGCAAGGGACCCAGGGAATCACCCTGGCGCACCCCACGCTCGCTGCGAAGAGGTTCGCATTTGAAACCAGCATCCAGGTGCAGATACGATGGGCGGCCGTAGGATAGGCGCACGAGGGGTAGCAGCGGATTGAGGGCCGGATCGTCTAACGTTGCGGCAATTGCTTGGCGCGAAACGTTGTTGAAAGTGTTTGCCAAGTCCGTCTGGAGGACCAGGTAGTCGTGGTTGTTTTCTGTGTAAGAGCGGGCTGTATGGATTATTGCTTCCGTCCCCCGAGTCACCGCCACTCCGTATAGCTGTGGGAGGAAGTAGCCACATGCGACTTCCCTCATCAACGTTAAAGCGGCCTTTGCAATCAGCCTCATGATGCTTTCCTCGATGGCGATTGGGCGTGCTCCCCCCTCTGGTTTAGCCAACGCGATGAGGCGGGAGGCCGTGAGTAGGTCAACTACTGGTTGGGGCAGATTTCCTCCAAGCAGTGTGTTAACTAGCGCGTGTGGTTGTGTGCTGGCAGCCGCATTTGTGAGTGACGCGTCGCGGAGGTGTTCGAAATTCGTTCCGGAAGGTCCTGCTCCAATCCCATTTTCGCAGCGACTGACCAGTTTGACGAACTCTGACTTGGCGATGGCGATGGTTGGCGAAGGCATGTCAGTGGGCCATGTCAGTGGTGCAGTGCTGGCAGGCGGGTGTTTGTGACGAAGCTCATTCAGCGCGTCGGGAGTGGGTGTGCAGAGCGGTGTTGACTCGAGCGCCAATACGGCACAGCGAAGGCTTCCGCGCTTTGCCAGTCCCTCCGCCCTACTGATTTTTCCCTTATCGTCAGACTGGTGACGTGGCGGAGCTGGCGAGTCTGCAGCCAGCACTGCTTCGCAGTTAAGTAACTCCCATTGACCTTGCTAGAATAGCGGCAGTCGCTTTTGCATGGTCGGCCAATCAGGTCGCCTCGGCGAGGTCAGGCGAAGGGTGAGGCGCGGTAAAAACAGCAGAAGACGCCATCCTGTGATTGATTCTGGCTTTTGTGATAGGTGGAGGAGTGGTGTCAATAGCGCCAACGAAAACAATTGGCAGAGTTTTGGTGGTAATCTCCTGGTTAGTGGCGGTTGACGGTTGTCGTATTGGGGGGAAATGTCATAGTCTGCCACTTTGGCGAACCTTTCGTCTTGCCTCGCCAGCTTCTCCGACAAAAAAAATCTTGGGGGCTGAACCAGCAGTGGCAGCTGTTCACTTGGATCGTTCGCGCAATTTTGTCTATGAGCGTGGCCCGGGGTGACATTGAGCAGAGGGGTTGGAATTGAGGTCGTCGGACCTCCACTGTCTTGACCTCCACCCTGCGATCCTTGGATCGATGCAGCCCGTGGGGTATTGCGAGCTGAGGCTCCTGCTCCGGATTGTGGGCTAGGCATTGCACTACTTGGCGAGGACTCGTCCTCGCTACTATATGAAGGGTCACGATGCTCGGCATCTTCATTCATTCTCTCCTGCTCCTTTAAAGCCCTCCTTGCTGCTGTCTAAAAACCGTTCTCCGGTCCGCCCCCTAGACTCTCGACAACTGTCGGCCAACGCCTCGTCTTCTCCGGCCTCGACATGGTGATCGCTGGTGCACCTGAGCAATCGCCAAAGCTCGCTGGCGTTGAGTTTGAGGCGTGCGTGAAACCGGTGCATTCCCCCGACGCGCAGGCAAGTTCCGGCCCTGTGTCTGCTGCACCCCCTGCGCCGGAGCCTGTAACAACTGCTCAGGTGGTTCCGGCAGAGGCGCTTCTTCCTGTGCCCCGCCTGGAGCGTCTTCCGTCTGCGACGGTCGCCCCGACTGCCGCGACATCTCCCCCAGCTCCTGTTCCACCTGTCGTTGCTCCTGAACCTCTTGCTGCTGCTACCCCTGTACTCCCTGCTGCCGCTGTTCCCTCCACGCCGTCCCCGGCCAACGGATCGGTGCTCCCTCTGGCGTCCGCCACCACTGCCGACCAAGTTCCGGCAAAAGCGGGGGGCGCTGCCGAGAACCCCGCCCAGTTGGTGTCACCTGAGAGACAGCAGGTTCTCCGCCCGGTGTCACCCTCGGGGCGAGGACTTTGCGAGGAGTCTGTGCGGCGCTCGTCTGGGCAGCGTTCTCCTGATAGGCGATCTGCCCGTCCGTCGCCTGATCATCGCCATTCTCGTCAACCCTCTCCGTCACGGCGCCAGGAGTGCGAGTCGTCGCGCTACCGGCACGATTGTTCTCAGCGCCATCCTTGCCGGCGTAGTGGAATGCTCAACGCGGGGGTCGCGGTGGCTGGAGGGGAGGTCGCAGTCGCGGGCGGGGTGGTGCATCCGAGGTACAGCAATTTTGGGCTGACCTTGGTGAGATCGTGGATGCGGCGGTGCGCAATGCCCAAGCCGGCTCGACGAGCCAGAGCGGTTCTCCGTCGGCCGTGCCTCCCCATGTTGCTCCTCCGTCCACTGCTCCTCAAGCTCCCGCGACTGCTACTGGAAGGGCGGCGGCAATTGCAAGTCTTCGTTTGCCCTGGGTGCCGCCAGTGGCGGGCATGGAATTCGTGGGCGCGGGAGAAGGAGCGGTGATGGCGCAATATCCTCCGCTCCTGGCGGCTGATGATGCCCCCCCTGCTGCTGATGATCCTCTCCCTTTTCTGGTGGGGGGGACCCTTCCCCGCCAGGTACGCGTGCCCGAGGCGACGCTTGGCCAGCTGTGGCGGCTCTCTGAGAGCATGTAGGCGCTCTTGCTGGTTCAGGTATTGGCGCACGCCTCCCTTCCGCTTCTTCCTGCAAGCACTCTTCTGGACGGTTCGTGGGACGACTCCTTGGATGAGGCCAACCAGCCTGCCCTCCTCCTGGCGCCCGTGTTGGCTGCGCCCGCGCGGGGAGGCGTTGCGGCTGTGGGTCAGCTTGACGCTTCTGTTCGCGGCCTGCGGCGTTATCTGCGTGCAGGGACTGGTGCCGACGTGATCGCCGCAAGCACGTTGGTGGTCCGCGAGGTGTGGAGGACCCTAACAGGCATCCTTGGTGTCCTTGAGGCTGACCGAATGTAGGGTCAGCCTCCGCTTGCTCCATTTCTGCTTCTCTCTCTCTCTCTCTCTCTCTCTCTCTCTCTCTCTCTCTTTCTCTCTCTCTCTCTCTCTCTCTCTCTCTCTCTCTCTCTCTCTCTCTCTCTCTCTAATGGTCCTTGTATTGATATAGGTAACAAACAAGCAAAGCATCAAATCCTACCGACTACCTCTTCTAGAGCTCCAGGAAGGGCTCGACCACCGCAAAACAATCCCCTATGTTCAGCTCCTGCCCAATACCGCCTACAGGCGGGTTCTCTGCTGCTGCCGCCTCGCCTAGCTTGAGTAGGAGGCCCACAGATTGGGCCCTCTGAAGGGCCACCGACCATCTCTGTCTGAACTGGTGCAGAAACTTCGCGGCATGAAAGGATTTTGAGTCGGCGTTGAAGTGGCGCCGAGCCGCCGTGTCTGCTAAGAGCTTCATGAAAACAGGTACCTCGGCGCATGGGCAGCCGTAGGTTTCCACAGCCAGAGGGAAGAAGCCAACTGTCTCCGGCCGGTTAGCGTAATGCTTTATCTTTTTGTCGGCCTGCTCCCGTGCCGCCCAACCCCTGCCTTTTTGTGCCTCAGGGTCCCTTGTGCTGATGGGGTCCGTGATGGTGACATCACAGACATAGACCGCCCCGCTGCTTCGGTCAGTCATGGTGAAATCGGCAGTCTGTTCTTCAATGGGGCAATGGGCGGCTGACTCGCTGTGAACTATAAACCCCGCATCCTGCGCCATGCTAATGCATGCGTCCCGCAGCTCATTGTGGGTGTTAATGCGGTGCTTGCCCGTGCCGCAGCGGAAGAGGTGATTTGGGAGGCGGGGGTCGGTGATAGCTGTGTGGTCAGAGCAGTCGCAGTTCTTTGGCGTTGAAAACGGGAGCCCGAGCCGAAAGCGCACGGAGTTGGCGAAGTGTACTGGTCCTATACGTCTGTTTGGGGCAATAGGGATCGCGGTCAGCCAGTCACCGGTGCCGTATCCCGTCAGCGAGAACATCTGCTGCGTGTGGCCTGAGAGGGGGTTCGACTTCATGCGCCTCGTGTCTTGCACCTGCACGGCGTATCTGCTGCCGTGGACCTTCAGACCGAGTACATATTGTAGCCGAACATCCGACCGTTTCAGTCGTTCCTTTTCCAAGATCTCCCGTGCATCCCATGGCAATGCGGCTTCGCACTCGGTAAGCCATGTGTGCAGTGGTGTGGTGTCGTCCCGTGGCAAGAGCATGTGATTCCGAGCTTGGATCAAGGTGTTGCCTGGTTCTAGCGCGAGGGAGGAGAGAAAGAGCGCCGCCTGGGTGAAACTCGCCGTGTACCCGTACACTCCTTCTATTAAAGGGTCCGTGAGGCCTATGCCTCCCAGTGATGGTGGCAGTGACGCCTGCGCCCATACTCGAGCCTGCTCGGATCCGCATGTGGGGACGCGGATATCGCATGATACTAGCAGAGCGATGAGCAGGTCCCGTCCCCACTGGCTCCAAGTATCGCGAGGGAGTAGGTGGAGGGGTGTCGTTCTAGTGAGATAAGCCACACGTCTGGAGATGCAGCGGGTGAGTAGCAGAGAAGCTACCTGAGGGTCAGCTCGTTCGAGGAGGTGTAATGGCTTCGCCATTTCTTCTAGCTGGCATGATAGGAATTTGGCCACTCCCGTATCGGACCCTAGGTAGCTTCCTAGAAGCCGCACGCCTTCCTTTGAATACGGCACTCCATGTGGTAGCTGCGCTTGTTCAACCGTGGACGCACTCCAGGCTGCGCACTTCTGCGGGTTATGTGTTAGGCCTATGTGGGCCAATTTGTCGGTGGAGTACGTGAAGGCTGCTACAGTGTGTGGTGTCTCCCCCAAAAAGGTGACGTCATCCGCGTACGCCAGGCAGAGCACGTCCGGATATGCCTCGGCCGTTTCGCGGAGTATGGGGTGTATCCCTGCTGCAAATAGTAACGGGCCGAGTGGGTCGCCCTGGCGAACACCGCGTTCGCTTTTCAGTGGTTCGCAGCTGAAATTGGCGTCCAGGTGCAGCAGCGACGGGTTACCGTAAGTCAGCTGAACTAACGGCAGCAGTGGCGAGAGGCCCGGCTCCTGTAACGCTGTTGCGATGGCTTGTCGTGAAATACTGTTGAAGGCATTCGAAATGTCTGTCTGCAGTACCAGGCTGTCGGGACGGGCATCAAAAAATGCCCTGGCTGCGTGGATTACCGCTTCTGCTCCACCTGGCACTGCCACTCCGTATTGAAGGGGTAAGAAGTGTTCGCGGGCAGCTTCTCCCATGGCTGCGAGGGCTGCTTTGGCTGCCAGCCTGGTCAGACACTCGCCTATCGCGATTGGCCGTGCGCCACCTCCTGGTTTGGCCAAGGCGATGAGGCGTGATGCTGTCAACAGGTTCGCCACCGAGCCCGGTAAGTTTCCTCCCAGTATCGTGTTTACCAGGGCGTGCAGATGGGTGCAGATCGTTGCATTGGTTACGGCCGCGTCGTGCAGATGTTCAAAAGTCGTGCCTGGCGGACCGGCCCCCACTCCATTTTCGCACCTTCCCAACATTTTGGCGAAGTCGGCGTGGTTGATGGATAACTTTGACCCACCCGTCGCCGGCCAGGTCATCGCCGCGTGTGCAGCAGGAGGGTGTTTTCGGCGGAGGTCGTCCAGGATTTCTGGGCTTGGTGTGCAGACTGGCGTTGACTCCAGGGCCAGAATGGCTCGGCGCAGACTGCCACGTTTCGCCAGACCTTCGGCTCGGCTGATGACTCCAGTCGAGTCAGGCTGGTGTCGTGGCAGTGGAGGTGTGTTGACCGCCTCCACCGCGTCCAGATACAACTGCTCCCATTCGCCACGCTGGAAGGCTCGGAGCCGGGCTTTGACCTGCGGCCAGTTCGGTCGCTGTGGCGAGGTCTGGCGAAGTGTTAGGCGTGGGAGAAACAGGAGCAGGCGCCATCCCGCTTCGGATTCAGGGTTTCGCGAAAGGTGGAGTAACGGTGACAGTAGCGTCAGCGAAAACAGCTGACACAAATTTGGCGGTAGACGCCGTGACAGCGAGGGCTGTCGACTGTCGCTAAGTGCTGGGATGTCCCAGTTTTCGATGGCAGCGAACAAATCTTCCCGCTTCGCGAGCTTGTCAGGCGAAAAATAGCGGGGAATGGGTGTGGTCTGGCACGTCGCGACATCGGCATTGGCGGTTTGATTTCGCCGAGCGCGGCCCGACCTCGCTGGTGAAACTGATGTTGGAATAACGCCCGTCCGATCGGCATCGGACGGTCCCGGATCTGCTTGTGGGCGTTGCAAGGCTGGGCTCCCTAACTCTGCTGCCCTTCTCCCCGCCGTCTCCCTCACGTGCGTTCTTAACTTTCAATAATCACTATTCTCTCTCTCTAATGGTCCGTATATTGATAGGTCAGGTAGGTACACACATGCAAGGTAGGGAAGGGCATACAACCAAACCAGCAGTACTAAGATCCTATCCAATTCACACTCTAGAGCTCTAGAAGAGGCTCCACTAGTGCAAAACAATCCCCGAGGTGCAGCTCGTGTCCAATGCCTCCCATTGGGGGGTTCTCTGCTGCGGCCGCCTCGAAAAGGTGACCACGGTGACGAAGCCCCCTCTCTCTCTCTCTCAAGCAGTCATATATTGATATGGGTTGAAGCAATGAGAACGAGAGAATGAGTGGACTATGAAATGAAGTGAGTACAAATATGAAACCCTAATTGGTTACACCCCCTATGGGATACCCCACTATAGCCTACACAACAGCATAAGCTATAATGTTCTGACACACCCCCATAGGCAAAGTGGGGGAGAACAAGGGGTCACAAGACCAGTCAATCAAAGCAAAGCAAAGCAAGCTCAGGGTGGATCACAAAGTCACCACACAGTCCGAGCACAGGGTCAAGGCCACACGGCCAGTTCACATGCAAGAGTACACACATATATATAAAGCTAGACAAGCAAGAGCAGGTATATATATATGTGAGAGTACAAGCAAGGTCAAGAGGAGAGCAAGTGAGGCAAGACGGGCACAAGACCCAGCTGAGTGCAGAAGCGCTGATGATCACAAGGCGGAAGTGCCTTGGTGAAGACATCAGCAGTGTTGGCCTCAGAGGCCACGTACGCAAGCCGCAACTGTCCACGTTGCTGTAGCTCACGAGCAAGGAAGTAGCGGAGAGCAATGTGCTTTGTTCTGTGCTTCAGTCGCTGCTCTCGACACAAGGCCAGCATGGCCTTGTTGTCTACGTACAGGAATGGAGGAGAACGAGGCGGCTCTCCAAGGTCGGTCAGCAGGTAGGTGAGCCAGCGAAGCTCCTGTGCAGCCATGGCCCCGGCGTAGATCTCAGCCTCACAACTCGAGCCAAGAACAGAAGACGAGCGAGTAGCCCGCCACGAAACAGAGCCGGAACCAAGGCTGAAGGTGTAACCCTGTGACGACCGCTGCGTAGCCTGGTCGTCAGCCCAAGAAGCGTCCGCGTGCCCAGTGAGGACCACTGGACTCCGCCCTCCAAGCACTAGCCCCATGCCCGACGTACTGCACAAGTAGCGCAACACCCTCTTCGCTGCAGCCATGTGCTCTGGTCTGTGTCTCCCAGGGGCAACATAGCGTGCAAGAATGCTAAGAGGGTATGCAAGGTCAGGTCGTGTGCAGGTCATCAGGTACATGAGGCAGCCAACAAGCTCTGGGTACGGGCCACTCGACTCTACGGACTCATCCGAAGGCAGACCTGAGAGCGAGTGGCGAGTAGACAGAGGAGTGGCCTGAGGCGAGGAGTACGTGAAGCCGAAGCGCTGAAGGACCTGCTGCACCATGTGTGACTGAGTCAGGGTAATGGTGCGGCGTGCTCTGTCCCGGGTGATCTGCAAGCCAAGGTAGCTGCGCAGTTCACCCAGGTCTGTGCACGTGTGTCTCTTCTGCAGCTCGGACTTCACGTAGGCAAGTCCAGCAGTGTCAGCTGTGGCAAAGACCAAGTCGTCGACGTACACGAGGATGTAGAACGGCGGCAGAGAGGTGTCGGTGCGTAGAAA